CCCACCGATCCGTTCGAACGAAATTTCTCTCTTCGAAAATTTCTCGCTCGCCCCCACAATCCACCCCCACCCACCCCCATAAATTACTAACGAAGTTGTTTTTTCGCGAATATATCTCCCGAAAAAGCTTTTAAACTTGCAAAATCGAAAGGTAATTCCGCCTTAATAACGAGACACAACACGCATGCTTATCCTCTTATCCAAAAAAGAAAAAGATAATAATAATAATAAAAGTAAAAATAAAAGAATAAAAAAATAAAAAAAGAATAAAAAAATAAACGAGAAAGCTAGCGAAACTATGCCGAATAGGGGGGCGCCCGTTTGTAACGGTTCAATGTATTCTTTGCAGGTGAGAAGTCGGAGAGCTACTCGGAGAAAGATCAAGAGGACGACGTGGAGGTATGCGAGATCTCGTTCCACGGCCAATTGCCCATGAATTATTTGCTGTGCGACTCGTCCATCCTGAACACCGTGGAGACGAGCATCCTTCGGAAGAACGTGAAATCCCATCAACAATTTCGTTGCGACGGTTGCGACAGGGCGTACACGAGGATGGACAGCCTGAAACGGCACCAGGCCAAGTGCGACGCCTCGTTGGAGAAGCTTCAAGAGGAGGTCGAGTGGCTGCATAGGCAAAAGTTCTATTGCAATCAGTGTGGCAAGGGTTACAAGAGGCTTGACACGTTGAGGAGGCATCAGAGATTAGTTTGCGGCGACAAAGAGGGCGCCGCTGCAGCCACCGACAAATCGACCACCTAATGGAGAACGAATAGATTTTTATTTTTTTTTTTCTTTTGTTTTCTGTTACATCGAATGTCTTGTCGTTTTTTTCTTCTTCTTCTTCTTCTTCTTCTGCGTTTGTCGGTCTTTCGTTCTCGAAATTCGCGAAAGGAAGCGAATTTGAAATTGAATTTTAAAATTGTGTTTAAAATTGAAAAAGAGATAGATAGAGGGTGAGAAATTGTCGTGAATTGCGAAATTTGATAGATCATCTCGTGTTTTCTTTTTTTTTACTTCTTTTTTTTTTTTTTCCTTTTCGATCGAAAACGAAAAAGAAAAGAAAAATGAATTTTAAAAATGGTTTCATTGGACTAAGTAATGTTGTGAGAAACATGTAATGTGACGATTTTATGCTTGTTTCAACTTTATTATCATGCATTTGTATTATCCATTTATGCGTCTATTAAACATTGAACGAACGAACATTGAATTACATTGGAGATTACATTCGATCGATCCTAATCCTTATTAGATTGTACGATATTACGATTAATTGTATTTCATTGAGTGGAAACGATACCACTGAACGTTTTTCCCGCAGGTATCGAAGAGATGGAAGAGTACAACGCGTTGTTGATGCTGAACAGAAGGGTTCGCACGATTGGGGAGGAGGAGGATTCCTCGTATTTCAACCCTTTTGACTCGAGTATTGGGGGATCGACGAGCCTGGAGAAAATCATCGATCAACGTTACCAATCGAAATCCCACGTTGCCACCGTTGGCGGGCCGTTCGTTTGCTTCGACTGTGGAAAGAGATACAAGTGGCACGACAGTCTTAGAAGGCACAAAAGGGTCGATTGTGGGACCACGGAGAAAAAATACTCCTGCCATTTGTGCGACAAAAAGTTTAAGTACCGATACGAGCTGCGAAATCATGTTTACGCTTATCACGATTAAAAATCTCAATTTTTTTTTTTTTCTCTTTCTTTTTTTTTCTTCGAATCTTTCTCTCGATGGACTCGATTCACCATTTTGTTTTAAGGATTTATAAGAGAAAGTTTTCGCAAAATTTGCAATTTTGTAAAAACGCGTCTTCTGGCTTCTTTAAAGGATTAAAAATAAGTAAAATTAAAATAATTTTAAGTCATAATTATTGTTATCGTAGGTTTTATTATTGTGTCAACTTTTTAACGTGCAAGCTTATCTTTTTTTTTTTTTCTTTTTCCCAAACTTATTGAATAGCGACGTAAGAGAAGAAAAATCCGTAGAATAAGAAACTGCATCCATGCAAGTCGTCGTTAAATTGCGTCCCAAATTGCAATACGAATATTCTGTTTTTCTTTTTTTTTTATCTCTTTCTATTTTCTATTCTATAATCCATTCACAATTTTCAAAATGATAATCAATGTAATAATCAATTTGATGGATACAATTTGATGGATTTTATTTTTCGTTTGAATAAAATTGTTCCCATCATTTATCTTACGTTATTAACCCCTTGGCGCAACGCTTCGCTTGGTATCGCAGTAGATTACCCCTCGTAAAAATTTGAAAAAAGCAAACCGATTGTAAAATCGTTTCGACAAAAATAAATTATATCGTACGTTTATTTTTTTTTTATAGTTATTGGATTACTCGCATATCACTCGATGGTAACACTCCAATGATCCAATTATTTTTACATATCGTTTAGTGGTTATCAAGGGTTGGCTGTGAGAAACCTGTATAAAAAAAAAAAGGTTGCGCAACGGTTCGAACTACGCTTCTAAAAAAAAAGATTCTTTCGCTATTTATACGCACAACGTGCGACGAATAAAGGGGGCCGTGCTTTCTAAACGGTTTATCTGTTTTCTTGAATTTCAGATGCCTACGTGTCGTTGCAACTGCCTTATGGTTTGCCATCGGGATTCCAACCTTACTCGGCCAACGTGAATTTATCCCAAAAAGACGAAATGAAATATTTGCGCGGCGATGGGAGCAACCTGATGAACATTTGTTTCGGTTGTGGGAAGAGGTACAAGTGGAGGGACAGTTTGTTGAGGCATCAGAGGGTCGAGTGTGGTAACAAGGAGAAGAAGTTTTGTTGCAAATTGTGCCCAAAAAAATTCTATCACCAGTACAAATTGAACGAGCATTATCAAGGACGGCACAAAATACCCAAGCCTCGTTAAATAAATGTCAATATTAATATTACAGCGAACTTCTCTTGTTTTACGATTTTATAATTTTTAGAAATATTTTTATATCATGATTTGTCGAAAGGCGAAAATGTTCCTTGAAAAATGTGAAAATACTCAAATCCGATTGTTTGACTGTTTCTTTTACGAGAAATAATATTTTAGAAATGTTAATCGAAATAAGACTGCTTTTAGAATACGTTTGAAGAATTATTATTTATAAATTTTTCCTTTTTTTCGGACAGATTTTTTTTTCCTCTTTCTTAGAAATAATTTTGTGATTTTAAATAACGAATGAGTATCGTTGTTTCAAATTTTCAAGAAAACAAATGATCGTTGAAATATTCCTGAAAAGAAGTTGTTGCACGTTAGATTTTGGTCATCATTGTTTTCATCAAAACTAACGAAATAAAATGGTCAAATTTCGTTTTTCGATTATAAAAACTTATCAGTGTCGATTACAACGATGAAGTTGCATCCTGCGATGCTCGTGCTCGATTTTTACTCGTAAGTATGCAAATAAGTTTCGATACCTGAACCAGTAATTTTCTAGCAATTAGTAAATTGTGGTAAGAATTGTATGTAAATGGCAGGAACCACAACTACTTGTTATATTTTTTAACAAACATCGATAACTATTTTAATCATCGAATTATTTTTAAATTTTAATAAAACGCAAGTTATTATCGTATTGCATCGTTTTTTCCTATTGGTCCACTGTTTTTTATCAAACCGTTTGTTGCATATTGTATTCGAATCGACGATCGAATCGCGCTAATTTTGCGAAATAAATAAATAATTGAGTTAAAAAAAAAAAAAAAAAAAGAAAGGAAAACTCAAAAGAAAAACAGAAAAACTCTAAACCAAATTCTTAAATGTTGCAAGAAAAGTGTTATTATGCTTATATAAAAACTTAACGTGCTAATCTTTAACATTAAGCCTTGTTTGTGGTGAGCCTAAATCTTATATATGTGTCATTCCCTAAAAAAAAAAATCAATTTCATATTTAACCTCATTTTACGGGTTTCATTTAATATAACACGATAATATAAAAAAAAAAAGGAGAAATCTAACAAAATATGGATAAGATAAATTGCGTTTCACGATATTTGGACATAAAAATTCACATTCTATCTCTGTTGATAGGATCATTTTGCGAGTCAAAAACTTCGGCACCAATCGGCAAAACTCGGACAGAATCGAGCGAGATATTCTCCCTCCTCTTTCAGCTCCCGAGCTCCCGAACCGATCTCGTCCGATTGTTGCCGAAGTCAAATTGCCACTCATTCCTATGTTTCAACTAAACTATTTCACTTGAAATAATACGAAAGCATCGAGATTTTTCACTCGAATTTTTTCAACTTATACCAAACATTAAATCTCGCGATTTCTATGTCCAAATAACAACTTGCAACTTTACATTTCAGACTTTTCGAATTCTTCTCGGGAAGATCGACAAAGTCTAAGAAAAGAAAAAATAAAAAAAAAGAAGTTGCAACTCGAAGCAACGTGTGATTGTTCTCACGGTGATCGTTTAAATGTATTCATGCTCTGTGTAAGTCCATCCTTCTTCATCGATAATCCTTGTGCGACAACTAGCAATGTAACCATCCAATGTGAGACGCGAATCGTTGGAAGCGAATGGGGGAATAGGTGAACAAGCGCAGATATCTGATTCTGTTATCTATTTTCTAGAACGGAAGTACTCGCCAAGCGCAGCGATCGAATGGTACTATCAATACCAGACCTTGTATCTTCGACTGATGGCGGAAAATCAAATGATGGCAGAGAACAAGGTGGTTTTCGAGAATGGCAAGTGTTCGACCGGCAAAGCGCAACAACCAAGCTCTGGCAATTGCCTGAAAGAATTCGTTGCCACGGAGAAGTTGGCTATGGAGAACGGTGTGGACGAGATCCCGCCGGTGGGGAATCATGGAACAGCGAGCGTTCGCGATCCTTCCAGCTACTCTTGCCCACGTTGCGGCAATGCTTATTCGAGGCCTCACTCGTTGAACAGGCATATTAGGTTCGAGTGCGGAGTGGAGCCCCAATTCGAGTGTCCTATTTGTCATAAGAAGTCGAAGCACAAGCATAATTTGGTTTTACACATGAGAACTCATCAAAAAACTTAAATACAATCAGAGAGAGAGAGCGAGAGCGAGAGCGAGCGAAAGAGAGAGCGAGCGAGAGAGAGAGAGAGAGAGAGAGAGAGAGAGAGAGAGAGAGAGAGAGAGAGAAATCATTCAGAATGAATCTTAATATATAATTAATGTGCGTATATAGTTCTAATTAAACGGTGATCTCTGATATCAAGTTGTTGATATGTTACCATGTATAGACTGATTCACTGCCTTTTTTTTGGAATATATTGATAAAATTGTTATACATATGTTGTAAATTTTAAGATGAAAGTATATAGGTATATATATATATAGGACAATAAAGTAAAGGAGTAAAAGAAAGGTAATAAAAGATGAAACGAAGGTAAGAGGTTGTATATTTGTATATGAGATATACAATGAATATATATACATGGATATATACATGTATATAATTAATGCAAGGGATAGAAGAAGCCTATATATAAGTAGATAGAAGATAGAAAGATACATTAGATTATAACGAGTAAAAATGAAATTATTACGATTGTACACAATAGTGAAAATAAAATTATTTTGTATCAAAAAAAAAAAAAAAAAAAAAAAAAATAAGATTACGATAAGAATACGATTTCTCATGGAGAAATTAATTTTCTGTATCATTGATTTTATACATCATCATCAAAATAGATAGCATGCTTGTATAAACAAATTTCATCGTATCAAATATCCATATTTCTTATAAAACCGTTTCGAAACATGTGTTCCACGATCTAATTCTTTTACTTTACCGATCGAGAGATGTTGAGTAATTTGCATGCCAGAAATCTGTCTTGTAAAAAAACGATGAGAGAAAAATTTTTCGAAGCAAACTAGCACGATCATCACGAGAGGAGAAGAAATTAGCGTTTCTTTCGCAATAGCATGGCTCAATGTAAGAATTCCTCGAATTTATTGTATACCTTCTTCACTAAGTTAATATTAATATTTCGATATATTTATCGTGAAATCGCTTTATCTCATTATCTTTCGCCGAGTTACTATCCGTTTTCGATATAAAATCTTTCAAATCAAACGTTTCATCGTATGCTTAAAAAAAATGTTGCAGTTTGGAAGATGCTGAAGGATTTGGAGGACGGGCCACCATTTTTGTGTCCGAAATGCGGTCGTACTTATTCCCACAAGTGCAACTTAACGAGACATTTACGATTGGAATGCGGTGTCGGGCCAAGATTTCAATGCGCCTGGTGCAAGAAACGATTCAAGCATCGACATCATCTGAGGGACCATCAGAGAATCCATCTTTACTCGAATTGCACATTTGAACTGCGAAATTGAGATACTTTCTCTT